CAAGGGAAAAACAGAACAAATTATATGTGGACTGGTGACATTAGAAGGCTGAAAATTAGGTATAATAAAACCATTATCCCCTACAACAAAATACACACTGAATGAGATTTTCATGTAACTACAACATCTGCTGCTGGAGAACTGCATGACCATCTTCTGTGTTTAAACTTTGGCAGTAGCTTGTGTGCACTGACTTTTCGAAACCAGGAGCTTTGGAGATATTCATGAAGCCTCATATTTCTCAAGTGTGCAGTCAAAGATCAATACACATTAATCTATATCATTGCTTCCAATTTTACCTCACAGGGAATATTTGGCAATGTCTGGAGACATTTTAGTTGTCAACTGGGATAGGGGAGGGTGCTACTGATATTTAGTGGATGGAGGCAAGAGATGCTACCAAGTTAGGGTGCCCAGCAAGTCACCTAGGTCCACCCTGCAGCAAATGATCTGGCCTAAAACGTCAGTAGTGCTGAGACAGAGAGACCCTGGTACAGAGGAGGTGAGATAGATCAACGTGAAAATGATTTTCTCATTGAATTCTTGAATTTATTTTTTGTTACCACCATCTACTGTGTGTGGCCAGTGAAACCACTTTTTTCTATTATGATTGGGATAAAAAGTCCCTCTTTTAAATTAAATAAAGTGATTAGTTTAAAAATAGTCAATTTAGGGACCAGCAAGTGGCATAGTGGTTAAGGTGCTGGACACTTCCACATGGGTGACCATGGTTCGAGTTCCAGACCTGGTAGCTTGCTTTCTCACTTTCCCTCTCTCTCTCTCTCTGGTCAAATAAAAATAAAAATAAAAATAAAAATGAATGAATGAATAAATAAATAATTTAAAAATAGTCAATTTAAACAAAATGTTAAAAAAACTGCTAGAGATGGTTAAGTAGATTTGTCATATTCAATATGGAAACAGTTGAATGAATGCATTTAAAAAACAAAACCTGCTGTAGGTGAATGGGATTAGGTGAATGAGATTAGTCTCAAATTGTCATCCTGCTAAACAGTGGTGTTACTTTAGCTAGTCTCTACTTGTTACCATAGTTAGTGAGTCTTCCTGTTTACTTCCTCTAGATGATACTGAGGCATTTAGGATGAGGTTTTAGTCCTCTGGATACGAAGTGACTGTTACTAGTGTGTGTTGGATAGTGTGTGGTGGCTGTTGACAGCAGATTACACGTCACCTTCACGATGTCTCTCAACCTCAAGGCAGCATCTCACGGTGGCTTTCAAAGACCATTTTGTGCTGCTTTTTGCAAGCTGCCCATCTCAGAGGCCGTCACTGGGAAGCACTTCTTGGAGACTTGTCAACAATCCCAAGTGAGAGGCCCAGTGTAATCTGAAAGTACTCAATGAATATTCATGGCATTACTTTGCAAATTACAGATAAAATACCAGAGAACATGTGAAAGAGCAAATCTGCCTGGCCCACCCCAGGAGCTTGAGATTCAGTAGACCTTGGCTAATCTCTAGGAATCTGCATATTTAACACTTATCTTGAGTGATGATGGGTCACACTCTGAGAATCACTGATGTATGAAGTATGAAGGGATAAGGGAAGGGTCTTAATTGCACCTATCACTCTCAACTTGCATGCTGTCTACTTCTGTACATGGATTTGTAGGCTGCAGTGTGACGCCTAAACTGCCCTTTCATAAACCAGACTTGAATTTCCTGATCCGCTGATGAGCCAACGTGTTTAAATAATTTATTCCACAGTGACTTTCTAGTACTGTTGCTCGCTACTCTACATGATAGTATTTTTGTTATGTTTTTATTATGCTATTGCGCTATTGCCCTTACTACTTTATAAAACAAGAGAAAAACAAAAAAAGGAGAAACAAAGGTTTCCTAAACTTAATGCAGAAAGATCAAAGATGGGAATCATTAGGCAGGCTGAAATTAAGGCCGCTAGCTCGTATTCAACAGCCTTTGGATGGACACCAGGCAAATAGAGATTCAACTGTGAAGAAAATGAGCAATCTAACAAGTTAGAAATGCTCTTCTTGAAAATTAGGTCTGAAAATTGGGGTGTAACTAGGAAATTTAAAATACTTCCTCAGTGAAAATATTTTTTCTTGTAGTGGATATATTTTTTGCAAAGCTTTAGCATATTCCATTTCCGAACACATTCTCAGGGGTTTGAAGAAAAACAAGAGGTTACCGGTAATGGAATGACAGTGAGAAACCTATTTTCCACACCCTTTATTTGAACAAGCAGAGTGACAGTCGCTCACATTCTAATTACAGTCCTCTGGTTGTGGTAAAAATTTCAGGCAGCCAGTGGTCTCATCTGTTATTCAGACATGAGCAGGATGTTAATAAGACTCCTCCTGCCAACCAGAGTACAGAGAACGTTCATTTTCATAGCTGAAGCTTTACCCTGAAAAGGATTTTGTTTTTGAACTCTTGCCAATAGCCCCTGTAACCTGTCTTCTTGCAGTTACTTCATCTAGTGGTTAATGAGACCATAATCTGGTGGGAAAAAAAATTAGGACTGGAGAAAAACGTAGATGACACTTATTTGGCTGTAATCTTAAAATCTTGGTTAAATATCTCTACATCTTTCATCTTTAAAACAATTTAATTAAACCTTCTATTTTGAGATAATTACAGAGTCACATTTGCTTGTAAGAAATATTCCACAAAGATCCTATATCCTTTATCTAGTAATGAAGTCTTTGAAATGACGGTGTTATGATCATCGATAAGATAATGACATGAGCACAGTCCAGGTACAGAACAATCCCATTACCATGAGGGTCCCTTAAGTTAACCTTCCCTAGCCACCTCAGAGACTCTTAACCTCTTAATCCACTAATCTGTTTCCCATTTATATACTTTTGTCCTGTCAAGAATGTTATGTAAATGCTATTGTGTGGTATGCAATTTTTTTGTGTTTTGTGTTTTGGTTTGGGTTTTGTTTTTCCTCCACTCAGCATCATTCCTTGGATATTCAAGGTGACTCATATAGCAATAGTTTATTTTTTATTGCCAAATAATATTCCACAGTATAGATATACCACAATTTCTTAATGATTCACCCACAGGAAGACATATGAGTTGTTTTTAGGTTTGGCTATTAAGAATAAAGCCATTATGAGCGTTCGTATATAGATTTGTGTGTGTGTGTGTGTGTGTGTGTGTGTGTAAATAAATTTCCATTTCTGTGGGATAATTCCCTAAGAGTTCTTTTGGGCACACACACTAACAAGAATGAGAGAGAGAGAGAGAAAGAGAGAGAGAGCGAGAGAGAGAGAGAGCAAGCAAGCCAGCCTCTAAGTCTGAGACTCCAACCATGGTTGGCCATGGGGGAGTCCAGTGTCTTAACCACCATGCCACCCACTGGCCCTGGCTATGTCTTATGCAGACTTTGTTTTGTTTCTTCTTACTAGTACAGAGGTTTTTAAGCTTTATAGTGCATAAAATGTATGGTTGACTATACGACATCACGTGTACACAGTGCTTTGACGGTGGTTTAAGGGTCAAGAGGAAAAGCATGGCTCCACGCACCCACACATCAGTCCTTGAATATAGAATTCCCTTTTCATTGTGGGCCACATTTGGGGCTTTTTCCTTAACATAAAATCTTATTTTTTTTAAGGTTATTTTCTACCAAACGGCCTTTAAATGTCACCAGTGGTGTATAAAAGTGCCATTCAGATTGTTGCCATTAGTGAATATTGTCATTAATTCAAACCTTATTAGTGTTTAGGTTTACCAAGAAAACCCTCATTTTATTTTGCTTTTGGACAAAATTATTTTTCATGTGCTCATTAGCTCTTTGTGTTTTCTCTCTTTGGTCTTATTAATATTTTAATATACAGATTTAGTTTATATAAGTTTTCCCCATCAGGGCAGTTCTGGTTGCTAGAGTCAGAGGCTTCTTCGAACTCGCTCAATTAAAAGCTGTAGCACTGTTGACTGGGGTGGGAGCCCGGGATATAGACGCTCTCTAAGAAGACTCGAGGAAGGGCTGGCTCTCCAGATTACGACTGAACAATAACAAAGAAACCAATGTCTTCTCTACTTACAGAAGAAGTGGTCTAGTTCTCTGTAGCAGTTTCCTCTGCTTAACTATGGCGTTCGTGGTTCAATATGGCTATGAACCTCAGTTTACCTACCAGCATTGACCTCTGAACTCAGATCACACCTTTTATAACAACCTTCAAGTCTCTGGGTTGAATTTCCTAAGCAAGAATCTGGTGGATGTTGGGACCAGCAGTTGGCGTAATGGCTATGTTGCTGGACTCCCATGTAGTCAATCACAGTTCAAGTCCTGGATCCAGTGGTTTAAACTCACACTGGGTGTGTGTGCATGCATGCCCAAGATCCCGAGAGGAGAGTGGAGGAGAAGGGATTGTGGCGTGGCCATCCCCCTTGAGGGGGTGATTTCTTGCTTTCTGTCTCTCTCTCTCTTTCTTTCTGGTGAACACCCGTGCCTTATAGCAAAAACTTCTCCAAAATAACCAAGAATCTGGTGGATGCTGATCAGCTAGTTATTAACTACTCACCATCGGGCATGCATAATATCTTGGGACAGGTATGCATAAGGTCATGTGACACACATGAGTTGTCTCATTCTAGAACTGGCAATGAGATCTTCAGCGTAGAGCAAGCCCACACTTTCCACATTTAATTCGATTTGCAATTAGAGCATGTGCCATGGATGTCTATGTTATCTGTACTGATTTGGAATTTGTATCTCTGGGATGTTTTCTGAAACGTGCTCCATGATTTTGTTACCAAAATATGAAGAAATTTACTTTCAAATACTTATATTTGGTAATTGTTTGAATGACAAAATATGCCTAATGTGGAAACAAATCTTACATGTGTGTGTTTTAATTTTATTTCTGCAAAGCAACCTCACACTTCCGGCTTGTGAATATTTTACAGGTGAAAACGTTAAAAAGAAAACATTTAACTGCAAATGTCAGTAAGAGCCAAGCTGGTGGAGATGCTGAGTGCAGTCTTTGTATTTCCTTCCAGATTTATCAGCGCTGTTGGTTAGTATTCAAGAAAGCTTCAAGCAAAGGTCCAAAAAGACTGGAAAAATTTTCCGATGAACGCGCTGCATATTTCCGGTGTTACCATAAGGTAAGGCTCAATTGCTGTAGGTTTCTAGAAATCAGCTCACAAGGCGAGCCCTTGAATTCATTCCATTTGAAACCTTGTTTAGGTTATTTAACAAAGGCACAGACCATACTCTTTTTTTAAAGAATTGTTTATTTATTTAATTTCACTTGTTATTATTATTGTTTAACTTGACCAAAGAAAGAAAGAGAGGAAAGGAAAGTGACAAAGCAAGCCTCCATGTCTGGGACTCAAACCACAGGCCACCATGTGGGAGTCCAGTACCTAACCACTATGCCACCTGCTGGCTCCATATAATACTTTTGCTGAGGACAGAACTTCTCTAGAGTAACGTCTATGTACTAAGTGTTTAAAATAATTGTGTAAGGTAAAGCCACTCTTCAGGTGTTCTACTGTGTTCTGTTGTTCAAGTATAGAACTTAACTGTGTTGCTCTCTATGTAAAATTTCCATTCTCATAGTAGATTCTGCTTTTCCCAGCCTGGAACTCCCTTCCAGGTAAGGACTGGATCACTTGTGTCTAGAACAGTGCCTGATGTAGAGAACATGCAGGTTCAGTGCTTAGGCAATGTGGGGAGAAGAGGGAGAGGAAGGACCAGAAAACAGGTGGCTGGTTAAAGTTCCACTCATTTGTTGACTTCTTTTTTATTTTTTTGGAGAGGTTTTTGCTATAGGGTGCATGCGCTCACCAGACAGACAAAGAGAGACAGAGAGACAGAAAGCAAGAAATCACCCTCCAGGGGGGATGGCCACACCGCAATCCCTTCTCCTCCGTTCTCCTCTTGGGATCTTGGGCATGCACACACATGCACCTGGTGTGAGTTTTAAGCCACTGGGTCCGGGACGCGAACTGCGGTCGACTACGTGGAAGTCCAGTGACATAGCCATTACGATAACTGCTAGTCCCTCATTTGTTGATTTCTTTAGGTTTCATGATTAAATTTAATTCAGACTTACAGCTTCTTAGTTGTAGTGAATCTTCCTCATCGAAAGTAGTAATTATGGGACCAGCAGATGGAGTAATGGTTACGTTGTTGGATTCCCAAAAGACCGACTGCGGTTTCAGTCCTGGATCCAGTGGCTTTTAAATCACACCTGGGACGTGGGTGTGGCTTGAAACTCACACTGGGTACGTGTGTGTGCTCATGCATGCTGAAAATCCCAAGAGGAGAGTGGAAGAAAGGGGATTGTAGTATGGCCATCCCCCATGGGGTGCGATTTCTTGTTTTCTGTCTCTGTGTCTCTGTCTCTCCGGTGAGCACATATGCCCTATAGCCAAAAATCTCTCTTTCTAGAAAAAAAAGTAATTATATGTTAAAATACCGTTTGGATCCATGAATTAGGTAAGTCTCCCCCTCTATGTGGCACTACTTCTCAGGTCTTTGTTAATGCACAGGCTGGAAGTTTCTCTTTGCATGAAAATGTGTAAGAAAACTCCTTGGAGGTGAGCACTCCTCCAAGGCGCTGCTTATTTCCATATTGAGAAAATACTATTCTTTTGTCCATGGAGGAACTATGCTTAATTTTATGATAGAGCATTTCTAATTTTGTTTTTCCATCTTGAAAATGTTTAATCCTTATTTGATGAGAATTCAGTGGGTCTGAGCCTCTTTGCCATTTGAAATTTTATGAAGCCAGTGGACCCACTAGCATAGAAGCCTGGCCAGGTTGGGAACGTGAGCCATCTTTCCTTCCGTGCGAATTCTTCCAAAGTAGCGGCTTTATGACATCTTATCAAGGGCTTGTATTGTCACGTTGGCTTATACCATGATGAAAAGCAGTAAGGAAGCCATGTTCATTCTTAATTTAGAGAAACAGAGAATGTGCTGTGTTTCATAGGCACATGTGTCCACACAGATGGGGAGAGAATATTAAATAAGGCTCTGAAACAAGTGGCGCAGGGAGTCAAGGTAAGCATCTTCAGTGTGTGGTCTTTCCCCGTTGCCCTATGAAGCAATCCCACTTGGAAGGCTAGCCCTGCTCCTTTCCACTCTGTAGGAAGATCTTTATAAGTCTAGATTTCTTCTACCATTTATCTTCCAAAGGCCAGATATTTCCACATTCAAATAAGGTTTTCTGACCCTCGAGAAGAAATTGTTGAATTGCAGATCTATTACTTAGGGGCAGTGATCCATGAAGCCAGTGATACTGTAACTTTGAGCTTGGGCCAAGCTCTTCATCTCTATAACACTCCAGGCTACTGGGGTGGGTCATTATTTCCCACCAGATGTGCTAAGTCCCAGTTACCCCAAGTGTATCCAGTGTCTTGCCTCAAAGCAAGATGGCAACAGTGCTGTAGGAGTGACTTACCTTACCTTGAAAAAGAGCTCCAAGTGCCCGAAAAGGTGTTTGCTTTATCTACTGGACAAAGACAAAGCTTAGGGGGCCAGAAATGGAAGTTAAATATCATTTTATTTTTTGTTTTTTAATTATTATTTTTAAATAGTATTTTCTTTTTTCTGAATTATTTATTTAATTTTATTATTATTATTATTACTATTTTAATTTCACCAGAGAGAGACAGAGAGAGAGAGAGACAGAGAGAGAGAGAGAGAAAACCACTAGGTCTAGGACTCAAACAGTGATTGGTCATGTGAGAGTCCAGTGCCTCAACCACCACACCACCTGCTGGCCCCTAGCTCAATTTTTACAAAGTTTGTTTATTTATTTTATGAGCAAGAGAGAGAGAGAGAGAGAGACAGAGAGAGAGAGAGAGAGAGAGAGAAGTCCCTTGCCAGGATCTTGATGCTACAGTCTACTCCCAGTTTCAGCTGGCCCCGGATCATGGACAAACACATTGACAAACCTCAGGGAGGTCTCCAGATGTGAACCCAGAACTTTTCCACATGGATCCTTGTCACAGAGAATTGCATTTTACCGCTGCACCACCATGCAGCCCCGACATCACTGTTCTTTGTAGAATCTTGGCGAGTGGTTGACTTTACAGCTCACCCTCAGACCTGTGTACCCCCAGTCACTGTGTGTACATCCTCTCTTGTCTTGGCAGAGTTCCAGATATCTCTGGAAACATCTGACTTTTCATAATTCTCCATACCTACCTTTCTGAATGTAGAAAATGAAGTAAGCCGTTTTTCTGACAGACCTATATGTACCTAAAAGAGGGAATAGGATGGGCTAGGCACCTGGCATGGGAACTCCTCAAGTCCAGCCCGTGGTGGGGGCCCCAGGTTCAAGAGCGGTGGCACTCTGAACCCTTCTCTCACCCTCTGCTGCTGCCCCAGGGGTCCAAGACAGTGCCTACTTCCTGGCTCCTAGAGTCCACTCAAAGCACACATCACATCATGAGAACTGTCTGCAGAACCATCAGCCAAGCTCTTAGGCTGGCCTACCTGATCATATGACTTGATTTCCTGTCTCTTGTTCAACCTCTCTTAGTTTCTTAAGTCCCACTTGTTCAGTTCCTGGTACCTTGGGTTCCATGCTTTCCTTGAAGATGTCAAACACATTTCTACCTTTGTACCTGCTTTTCCTTTTCCTGGGATGCTCTCCTCCCAGATACCTATGTAGGTTACCCCTTCGCTTTGTTCAGGGTGTTACTAAGATCCCTCCTCTAGGTGAGTCATCCACACCCCCTCCCATCTCCCTTCATTGTTCTCCTCAGCACCTATCAGTGGATACAGGCTTGGTTGTGTCCTGTTGTCTCTTCTTTGCTCTTGAAATAGGGTCTCTAGTACAGGATCTTTTTGTTGTTGTTGTTGTTGTTGGTTTTTTCCTATTTTTAAGTGGAGGCATGGTTCACTATTAGTTAACAGTACCTAACACATAATAGATATTTTTTTAAAGTATTGACTGAAAATCAATGACTATTATCAGTAGAGGCACGAAGAGATGTCTGCCATACTTTTATTTAGCTTAGCAGAAGAGCTCTGTATTTGAGGTATCTTAAATAAGGAAAAGAAATTTTGATTTGGGAGAAATGGAGAGGGCAGTGATGGGGACAGAAAAAGCCAGGATTTGAAAGGTTTAGGAAGACAGACTCAAACCTACGACCAACGTGGCTTGAAAACTCCCTGAATGCGAAACGAATTAAGACTTTTACCTGCCGGCTTTGGAATTCAATATGTAAATCTTTGGGGAACATGGTAAGCCACATTCTCTTTCATCTATAATAATCATTAACCAAAGTTCAAAGCATTAGAATGAGAGAATTATCTACATTAAGCCTTGGAGCTCTCGAGAGTTCCTGTAGCCGATTCATCGTCCTTACTTTTTAGATTTGATACATTTAGTATTAGTCTCTTGGGGACATATAAAAAGCTGAAGTAATTCTGAGATATGCATTTTTATCTAAATGCTGTGTAATTTATGAATCTTGATAATAAAATACTCGGGTTATATGTAGCACACTGTGACCGGGTTTCAGAGTTTACTCTAATATCAATAAAGCAATTTCTAAAAGCAATGAGGAAATGAACATTATGCTTTTTCATCAGTAAAGAAATGGTGTACATATGTAGATATCCCCCCATAAGAAATCTGTAGCATTTATGAGAGCACAGTACTCCTTCCATTTCATTTTTAAAGATATTAAGAAAAAATTGCCAATTTTGCATGAACGAATCTCTTTAGAAGTTTCACCTAAAGAAATTGCGGAATTTTAAAACTTGGTACCTTCCTCACTGAAAATGAAGTTAAAGATGCTCTCATGCAAAATTGGAAAACAAACATCTGAATAATTCATATACAGGATCATTCATTTTTCATTTCTGTACTTCTCCCATAAAGCGCCCCTCAAACCCCCAGAGTTGTCACAGATGGCTATGAATTTGATTAACTGTGATTGCAACAATATTAAGGCTCCAATGACTTTAAATATAGTTCCTGACCTTCTTGTCAAACATGAGTTTCCTGTTTTCACTTAGAAAATAAAGTTGCTCATACTAGCCAGAAGGGCTGAGCTGGTCCATGCAGTTTTACTTCTTCATGAACAATAGCAACTGAGAGAAAGTCTAAGTGGAACAAAGACCGCCTACTGTTTTTGAC